GTGCACCACAATGTTTATATCTAATCTTGAGATATCCCTGTAGGACCAGGCAAATATATCCACGTACTCGTGTAGTAGTTTGATCAGTCTTTCTTTGACGCTCTTCTCTAACAATTCCCCTAGCTTGATTTCCTTCGGATCCTCTTTTGTGCCTAGATTAATGGTGTTAATAGCATCTTGATACGGTAGTATGTTGTCGGCTTTTTTCTCTATTTCCCTTGCCATTTCCTCAGAGAGTTCAAGATCTTCACCACCTTCCTCTTCAGCTTGGTTGATGGGAGCATCAAAATTATATCGGGTCACAGCAGTAACATTATCAGTGGTTTTGGGCATGGATCTGCACATTTATCATGTTTTGGTGTAGATTTTAGTATATGAACTTTGAAAATGCATATGCAGAGAATGTATTGCCATTTTTTAATTTGAGAGATAAAGGCAAGCGAAAGACAAGAATCTTAATTGAAAACAAAATATAACTTTTATTAATTATAAATATCGTTTGAAACAAAATGGAGGAACCCTTACAAGCAACCCATATGCCTTGGTCTTGACATATGTTCTTTTAAAACAAGAAAAATTACTTAGGAAAGAAAAAGATCTCAGGAATCTCCACGGCAGTCCATCTTTTGAGTTCTTCACCTCCTGGGGCGCGTTCTCGGATGAAGTCAGTTGCCCTTTGGGTGTTGACTTTGTTGGATATCATCTCCACATGTCCGCCATGCTCTATTCCTTTGTTGACAAAGGTTTCTTTGATAGGAGGAAACCGTGCTTTACCCTTCAGAGTAGCTTTCGGATCCATAGCCCAAACTGAAGCAATTCTTCTTCTCAGAAATTTCTGGGAGCTTTCCCCAACCTTTCGAGGCATCATACTCTATGGTTGTTTGCAAATCTATCCATGAGGTCACTTTAGACTTATTACTTTTCTCCACTGGTAAAGTCACCATTGAAGCAATTTCCAAGGCTTGAAACGGGGTGGCTATACAGTCTTCATTGGCACTGATATATCTGTATGATTTGATGTGGCTTACAAAGATTTCCTCCTCACCGTCGATTATGATTAATTTCCCTTCCACTAAGAACTTCAAATTTTGATGTAAGGTCGAAGTAACTGCCCCTGCTGCATGAATCCAATGTCTTCCCAGTAAGCAGGTGTACGCCGGTTCTATATCTATGACTTGGAAAGTGATATAGAAGATATGTGGCCCAATCTCGACTAGGAGGTCCATTTCTCCTAATACCGTGCTTTGAGAACAATCAAATGCTTTCACTATTGTAGAGCTTGGCCTCATTACAACATCCTCTATCGTTAACTTTATCATACTTGATTTTGGTAGCACGTTGAGGGCATAGCCAATATCAGTGAGTACTCTAGATAGGCTGGTAGTACATATTTGCATAGAGATATGGAGTGCTTTATTGTGAGCTTTTCCCTGAGGTGGAAATTCATTGTTACTAAAACCCAGGTATGATTCGGAGGTTAGATTTGCTACAACATTATCAAATTGGTTCACGGTAATTTCTTCTGCCACACGTGCTGAACTCGGTACCTTCATTAAAGAGTCTTGATGCGCTTTAGAATTGATAAGCAACGAGAGTATGGAGATTTTTGCCGGAGTTTGGTGAAGCTGATCCACCACCATGTAGTCACTTCTCTTGATTATTTTCAGAAACTCCTATGCCTCTTGATCGGTAAAGTTTTTGCTCGGGGACTCTTTCTCTTGACTTATTTCCACCATTGCTTTTCCCTTGTCCTTTATCGAGGTTTCGTCTTTCTTCTTTGGCGGTTCAGATCCAAAGACTTGACCACTTTGGGTCATACCCACTATTCCTGCTATATTTGAAATTGCATGTCCTTGACTTGGCGATGGCCCATCTTCTTGTTTTACTCTGTTAATGTATACGACTGAGTCGTAACTCCACGACACTGCTTTGTTACTTTCATAAGGGATAGGTGAAGATCCCTTAATTATCACCATGGTATTTGGAACTACTGCTATTTGGAGAACCTTCTTTGGAGCCATCCCTAGGGTTTTTGACGATTCTTCCCATGGGATCACTAGAGTCTTCTTGTTAAGATTTTGGCCTTGGCAAGGGATTACCAATGACTTCTTTCCTTCAATTGCTCCTATATATTTTTCTTCAGGGTTATGATCAGAATTGGACTATCCCCCGGTCCACTAGCTTTTGTAGCGTTCTTTCAAAGGCTTCATTATGTTCCAACAGGAACCCACATTCCAACAGATACTCCTCCAACAAGTTTATATGGGCCTTTTCCTGTCTGGTTGTCCCACAATCATTGGCTACTTCAATTGCATTTATTTTCGACCCACCATGCAGAGGCATAAGGTTTGATTTGATGTTAGGCTTCTCAAAAGTGATGTCTTGATATTCTAACAAATCTTGAACTTTATGCTTGAATGCCCAACACTACTTTATGGTGTGCCTGGGAGAATTGGCATGGTATTCGCATCTGGCGTCGGCATTGTACTTCCACGGGAGTAGCCCGACTGGAGGAGCTAGAGGATTGAGTTCCACAAAAGATGCCTTGACCAAGTGCTGTAATAACTGGCTAGCTGGCATATGGAGTGGATTAAAATTTCTTTGCGGCCTTTCAAACCTGCCTTGCTGTTGTCCTTGTGGGATCATTAATGGTTGTTATGCCCTTGGTTGTGAGGCTACAACATTAATTTCTCCCTCTTTTCTTTTGGGGAAGCTTGAAGCAGGCCTTCTTGAATTGTAGGGGGTATTTGATGGCCCCCTTATTATTTTCCCATTCTTTATTCCAGTTTCAATTCTTTCTCCGATGGTCACTAGATCTACGAATCCCGAGGAGATACTTTCAACCATCTTCTCATAATATAACCCTTGCAAGGTTTCCATGAACATATCGACTAACTCCTTTTCCAACATTGGTGGTTGCACACGTGATTCCATCTCCCTCCATCTCTTAGCATACTCCTTGAAAGACTCTTCTTTCTTTTGGGACAAATTCTGGAGTTGCATGCGGGTAGGCGCCATGTCCGGGTTATATTTGTAATTCTTAAGAAAACATTAGCAAGATCCGCCCATGTTTGAATATGTACTCGCTCCAATTGCATATACCAATCTAGAGATGCCCCACTCTTGCTATCTTGAAAACAGTGAACCATCAGCTTTTGATCGTGGGCATGGGCGTGCATCTTCCTGCAATACATGCGCAAATGATTTCTTAGACAAGTGAGCCCTTTGTATTTTCCAAAGTCAGGACATTTGAACTTCGGCAGAATTACCACATCAAGAACTAGGCCCATTTCGAGAGCGTCTACTTCGAAGGCATCAAATCCCTCCACAACTTTCTGCCTTTCTTCCAGAGCCTTATATTGATTCATCACCAGTGGATTATCAACAGCATGAGTAGCAGTTGTCTTTAAGGGTGCCTGATTGACATCGTCCAGGTTGCGGTCTCCATATTATAGGTCCAAGTAGTTATCTGCATTATTAATCGAAGTTTGTAGGGTATGTGATGCCCCTGCTTTTGATGGCGGTGGGACAAACCCTTCGGTCTCAGCTTCTCTTGTCTCTTGTTGGGCCATGACAGACTTTTGGAGTTCTAGAGATCGAACCAAGATATGCATAACAAACCCTCGTTCTACAAGTATGAACAAGGGCTTGTGGGAAACTGTTTTGGGTCGCTCGCATGACCCATGACGAAAAACCCATTAGTAAACATCACACGGAAAGGCGCGCAAAACAGGTGAGACCTCATCCAAATTAAGACATGGGATTTCGGCCACCATCACAGATCTCAACGACCATCCACACAAGGCATCAAGTCACACAAACAATTTTAACCGTCCATGTTATATATAAATCAATTTACACTATTTCAAATATTTACTTGATTATCACTCTAAAATTATTTTTCATTCGTTCAATAATTTGATATTAAAGTAATAACCTTGTAAGTCCATTCATTCCCCATTATATCGGAGGTCGGACTCATCATATCTAAAATCTGATTCATCGCATATGAGCTCTATTTCATCTGTGCCTCACGTATCTCTAGTTCTTAAGCAGAAAATGTTTGATTTTTACTCTCACCATATGTCATACTCGAATAATTATGGAGTAGTATATTTTTGAGTTTTAAAAAATAAAAATAAATATTTATGACTTTTTGTTGATTTTTGTGAGTTCGAAAATATTTGTCCATTTGCAATAAACTTCTGCTACACGTTTTCGTCTTTGAAGCAAAATTAAATTTGCTGACGGTTCTCATGTTGCGGTGGCATAAGCCAAATGTGTTATTATCATACCTGTCATAACAATAAATCTCCATCAACACCACTTTCATTGAAAAACTTTATACTTTATACTATACAACATTAATACTGTCACATACCTCTCAATTCATGTTCATGTTGTTGAAAATTGTAAATACTACCAACACCGTTTAAGGAACTTCCAATTTTGTAATTAGTGCCAAATTTCATAAACGTTACACACTTAACTCCGTTTCTTTTTTTTTCTTCATTTTTTTCAACATTAAACAATTCTACGAGCTACCCAAGTTTGTGTTTGGTTCTGAAACTCTGCATGCAAAAGAAAAAGAACAATCTTGGAACCTCTTCTTTGGAATCTTTTCTTCTTTTGAGTATCACACAAGGTGCTTATTCTATGGTGCTTTCTATCCTTTGTTGATGGTGAAGTTCATATTTTCCTATGTGCTTTCTTTTTTTTTCTTATACTTTTCTTGGTTCATTTGTTTTTCTTGATTGTTTTATTTGGTTTTGCATGTAAATGGTTTATCATTAGAATTGAGCCTTTCATGCGGAATGTCACATAAAGGAAAATAGTTTATTGTTTGGTTTGTTACAAGTCAAAATTTGGTGAATCTTTGTTGTGTTTATGACTTTCTTTCATCTTCTTGTTTTTTTTGTAGATGTACTTTATGCTAATTCTAGTGATCAATAGATGATGGTTGAAGAATTTTAAGCAAAACGGGTGAAGATTTTGTGTCAATGTTTCACCTTGAAACAAAGAGATTGTTATGGCTTATTGGCATAACTTTTTCAGTGATCTTAGCTTTTCAGTATCTTGAACTTCCATATGGCAATGTTCTTCTCTCTCTATTCTCTTCTGACAAAGTACCAACATCAGAAAATACCAACAAGACTATTGTTAACAATGTGACGATTTTCGATCAAGAAAATTCGACCCATGAACTCGCCATCGAGAAAGCTAATGCAATAACTGGTTTTGTCTTGGAACCAGAATTGCCACAAAACAAATCTCAAGCATTTGATGAGTCTAACAAAAGTTTCATTGATCCAGGTTTTGGTTCTACAACAAATGTGAGTCCAAATATAACAACTGCAGTGTTATCAAATGATGATAACATGTTACAATCTCTGAAAGACAATGTAACTAATGCTATAAAGAAAGAGAGTTTTAGGCCATCACCACCAGAAGCAAAAGTTCTGGTGAGTTCAAATGTACAAAGCAAAAGTTCTTCTATCAGCAATGTGCCTAATCAGAAACAAGAATTTCATAAACCTGTTTCAGAAGTCACAACAGTTTCTGAAATGAACAAGTTATTGATTCAAAGCCACGCGTCGTATCGAATAATGGTATGTGACATACAGTTTGACAGTTCAGTATTGGCTTTCTAATGATCAAATGTTCTAAGCTTATGTATTTTATGTATTTTAGAAACCAAGGTGGTTTTCAAATGTTGATCAAGAGTTAGTGCAGGCAAGATCAGAGATTGAAAATGCACCAATTGTAAAGAATGATCCAAAACTTTATGGTCCAATTTATCATAATGTTTCAATGTTCAAGAGGTATTACTGTAAATTAGTAGTAGTTACTTGAAGCGTGATGCTTATTGATGTTTCTGAGTTGACATTTAAGCTTCAAATTTCCATGTGACTGTTAAATTTTCAGGAGCTATGAACTAATGGAAGAGAGACTCAAAGTGTATGTATACAAAGAAGGAGCTAGGCCTATACTGCATTCACCATTTCTCACAGGAATCTATGCTTCTGAAGGGTGGTTCATGAAGCTGATGGAAGCTAATAAAAGATTTGTAACAAAAAATCCAAAGAAGGCTCATCTGTTTTACTTACCTTTCAGTTCTAGGATGCTAGAGGAAGCTTTGTATGTAAAGGATTCACATAGCCACAAGAATCTGATTCAATATCTACACGATTATGTTGACCTGATAGCGGCGAGACATTCTTTCTGGAATAGAACTGGAGGTGCTGATCATTTTCTTGTTGGTTGCCATGATTGGGTAATGGCTTCTTCTCTTTGTGAATTTGTTGGAAATCTAAGGTTTTAAGTAATTGCGACCGCGGTTGCAGACAAGACCCTCTTTGAGGGCGTGCAAGGCAGGCTACTGCACCAGGTCTAAAATTTTGTATGGATGAGCCGTGGCTATAAAGGGTCTCATAAAATTTTCTCACGATTATGCTGTAGAAAAATAGGCCCCCTATTTGTTATGCCACAGATAAACCGTGAGAAACCTACACAGGGCCTCTGAAAACTTCAGACGGCTCTGGTTGCAGATACATTGCAATCCTTGATATTGTACAAAATTACGAACAAATGTTAATGCAATTGCAGCTATGATACAATTGCAGTTAATGATGCGTCCAAAACTTTTGCATTGTGGCGGCAACTGCGATTACTTTTGTTATATTGAATTTGAAACAAAAACATTGGAGTTTAGTATAGATTTACTTTATTTTCTGATACAAGATTCTTCTCCATATGCAGGCCCCATCAGAAACAAACTTGCGCTTGGCGACCTGCATAAGGTCCCTCTGCAATGCCGATGTAAAAGAAGGATTTTTCTTCGGCAAAGACGCGTCTCTTCCAGAAACATACGTCCGAAACGCTCAAAACCCAACAAGGGATCTCGGAGGCAACACATTTTCAAAAAAGACAACACTAGCCTTCTTCGCAGGGAGCATGCACGGTTACGTGAGACCAATTCTACTAAAGCACTGGGAAAACAAAGACCCCGACATGAAAATCTTCGGAAAGTTGCCAAAATCTAAAGGAAACAGCAACTACATTCAGTACATGAAGAGTAGCAAGTACTGTATTTGTGCAAGAGGGTATGAAGTGAATAGTCCAAGAGTTGTGGAAGCTATTTTCTACGAATGTGTTCCGGTTATCATATCGGATAATTTTGTGCCGCCGTTTTTTGAGGTTTTGGATTGGGAGTCGTTTACTGTTGTGGTTTTGGAGAAGGATATTCCGAATTTGAAAAATATACTGGTTTCGATTCCCGAAAAGAGGTATCTTAGATTGCTTATGAGAGTAAAAAAGGTACAGAAGCATTTCTTGTGGCACAAGAATCCTGTTAAGTATGATATATTTCATATGATCCTTCATTCTATTTGGTATAATAGAGTCTTCTCTGCTATTAGCTAGATGGATAAGTAGTTGGATATAAGGTAGGAGTAGATTGATTTTTTTGTTTTGTTTTAAAATTATAGGTAAGGTGATTTGTTGTGTATATCTTTTGGAGGTTTGGTGTAAATAGAATTTCTCTATTGTCTTCCTTTGAATACTATCTTTTGTGGCCTAAATAATAGTGAGATAATAGTTGGATGTTGTTGTTGTATACTTTAGTTGGAATTATCTTCCATGGATTCAAGTAATTCAATGCATGCATCTAAGGAACAAGGATCTATAATTCAAATGTTGAGTTTTATACCATTCTGCCTTAGCTTTAGATGTTTCTGTCCTTGCACTCATTAATTCAGTCCATTGGCTTAAAGCTTCTTCGAATTTATTTGTTATAGAACTTTTTGCATCTATCCGTTGGCACACAATTGAAGAGGAGTTTGTCTTCCATTTTTTGCCAAGTTCTTGTATTTTTTTAATCAATCAAGGAAGCAAATAGATTAATAACTGCTCACTAAATTGGCACAAGGCAAGAAATTATGCAAAAGTCAAGTACAATATCATCAACACAAAGAAGTAAAGAAACAAAAAAGATTACAAATCATTCAACTCCAAACAAAACAAAGGATTATTATACCAAACATTAAATGCGCAATTGATGCCTTTGAAGTTTTCCTTAGGTATGTTTGGTTCGATCAAGGGGAAGGGAGTATTAGAGTAATAAGGGTAGTTCTGTAATATCCTGTAATAAGGAAATTAGACACTAGTCTAATTCCATCCCTATCCCCTTATTCCTACTATATAAAGGAAGATGATGTAACAGAATAAAGATTGAAGAATAACAACTTTCTGTTTTCCCTCTCTTCTACTCTCTCCTTTCTCTTCTCTTCACTCTTGCTTCTCTGTTTCTAACATGGTATCCAAAGTTCATCTCTGATCCTCGGCGCTCATGGCTTCTCCATCGCCGCCGTCCACCGCAAGCGGTGGCAGCACCGCCGTTGCTAGCTCCACCTTCAAACAAAAAATTTCAGTCAAGCTTGATGAGAACAACTATCGACAGTGGAAACAACAGGTTGAAGGAGTTCTTCGTGGCACGAAAATGGTGCGGTTTGTCGTCTCACCGCAGATACCGGAACGGTACCTCACTGTTGCCGATCGTGACACCGGAAGTGAGAACCCTCGCTTCGTCGCGTGGGAAGAACAGGATGCATTGTTGTGCACGTGGTTGTTATCCACGATTTCAGACTCGTTTCTCTCTCGTTTCGTTCTCCTTCGTCACTCGTGGCAAGTCTGGGAAGAAATTCATGCGTTCTGCCATACGCAAATGAAGACTCGATCTCGCCAACTCAGATCGGAACTTCGCTCTCTCTCGAAAGGTACTAGAACCATTTCTGATTTTCTTGCTCGAGTTCGCACTATTGTCGATACTTTAATGTCGATTGGTGATCCAGTCCTTCATCGTGACCAAATTGAACTGATTCTTGAGGCGTTACCATCAGAATTTGACTCAGTTGTTGCTGCTGTTAACTCTAAGACTGATTTCATTTCAATTGATGAATTAGAATCGCTTCTCCTCACTCAAGAAGCCAGAATTGAGAAATCCAAGAAAGAAGTTGTTGAGACTGTCTCTGTGAACCTCACTCAAGGTAATATGCCAAGTTCCAATCTCAGTCCCCAAGATTCTGATATCCCTGACTCCAGTGGTGGAAACTTCCAAAGCTTTGGTCGTGGCAGCTATTCTCGTGGCAAAAACAATAGAGGAGGAAGGTTCAGAGGACGTGGTGGCCGCAACGGCTATAGAAACTCTGTGCAATGTCAGATATGCTATAGACCAGGTCATCATGCTAGCTATTGCTACTACAGACACTCTCAAGACTCTTATGGTGTCTATCCTCCTTATGGTGCTCCTGCTTCCTTTGGAAATTTTAGCTTCAGTCAACCAAATGTGTGGACTCAACCTGGTTTTAGGGCTCCAGGTTCTTCAGCTGTGAATCAAGCTAGATCTGTGGCGCCTGTCATGGCATCTCAGTACTCTGGTGCAAGGCCTCAGGCACTGATGGCTGGCACTGACTACTCTCCCTTCTACAACCAGGCGTGGTATCCTGACTCCGGAGCTTCACATCATGTGACTCCAGATGCCACAAATCTTACTGATTCTGTATCCTTACCTGGTAATGATCAGGTTCACATTGGCAATGGCCAAGGTCTGTCCATAAATTTTCTTGGCTCTATGAATTTTTCTTCAAATTTATGCCCTAACACTTCTTTGAAACTAAATAATCTTCTTCTTGTTCCATCCATTACTAAAAATCTGCTGAGTGTGAGTCAATTTGCCAAAGATAATGTTGTATTCTTTGAGTTCCATGCTAATGCCTGTTTTGTAAAATGTCAGGGTACTTCTAAAGTGCTTTTGAGTGGTTCCCTTGGGAGTGATGGTCTTTATAAGTTCGACTGCACTCCTCCTCCTACTTCCTCTTAAGTCCTCAGTGCTGTTTGCAAGACATCTGGCCCTCAACATCCTTCTTTGCAGTCTAGCTTTGTGTTCAATTCCAGCTGTAATAATAGGAACTTAGATTTTGTTTCCAGTCTGTACAAACTGTGGCACCACAAGTTGGGTCACCCTCATCCTGAGGTTCTTAAACAAGTTCTCAAATTGTGTAATATTTCCATTCCTAATAAACAGTTTTCTGATTTCTGTAATGCTTGTTGTTTGGGTAAGGTACATAGGTTACCATCTACCTCATCTAAATCTGTTTACTCCAAACCCCTTGAACTTGTGTTCTGTGACTTGTGGGGGCCCTCACCAGTTCCCTCCATCTCTGGCTATTCATACTTTCTCACCTGTGTTGATGCTTACAGTCTTTACACCTGGATTTATCCTCTCAAATTAAAATCTGCCACACTTGCCACCTTTATTCAGTTTAAAGCTCTTGTTGAACTACAACTTAACTTCAAAATCAAGTCTGTGCAAACTGATGGTGGAGGTGAATTCAAACCTTTGACACACTTTCTAACCATGCATGGCATAACTCACAGAGTCACATGTCCACATACTCATCACCAAAATGGCTCTGTGGAACGTAAACACAGACATGTTGTGGAGACAGGTCTTACTCTTCTTGCTCAGGATAACCTACCCTTATTACTCTAAATTGATGTCAACAATGCTTTTCTAAATGGAGTGCTTAATGAAGAGGTTTATATGGTTCAACCACCAGGCTTTGAAAAGGGTGAACCTGGTCTTGTCTGCAAGCTTCACAAAGCCCTCTATGGCCTTAAACAGGCTCCTAGGGCCTGGTTTGATAAGCTCAAAGGGTCTCTTCTCCAACTGGGTTTCACTGCCAGCAGGTGTGATCCCTCCTTGTTCATGATGCTCACACCATCCTGCTACACCTTAGTGTTGGTATATGTTGATGACATTATCATCACTGGCCCTTCCCCTTCTTTCATCAATCAGTTGGTCACTAAACTCAACCTTGCCTTTTCTCTCAAAGACTTGGGCACGCTTGATTATTTTTTGGGCATAGAGGTATCTCATCTTCCCAATGGTTCTCTTCTGCTTTCTCAAAGCAAGTATGTCAGGGATCTGCTTCACAGAGCCAACATGGCTTCTGCCAAAGGAATTGCTTCCCCTATGGCCTCAAACACCAAACTATCCAAAGTGGGCTCTGCTCCTGTTGCTGATTCCACCTACTTCAGATCTATAGTGGGAGCCCTACAGTATGCTACTGTCACAAGACCTGAGATTTCTTTTACTGTCAACAAAGTGTGCCAATTTCTCTCAAACCCTCTTGAGGATCATTGGAAAGCTGTTAAGCGCATTCTCCAGTATCTCCAAGGGACAGTTTCACATGGTCTTCTTCTCTCACCTGCTAACCTCACTTTGCCTATCACTATCACAGGCCTGTGTGATGCTGACTGGGCATCTGATCCTGACGATAGAAGGTCTACCTATGGGGCTTGCATCTTCCTAGGACCTAATCTTGTTACTTGGTGGGCAAAGAAGCAAACACTTGTTGCCAGATCCAGTGCTGAGGCAGAATACAGAGGTCTGGCCTTAGCTACAGCAGAGATTCTCTGGCTTCAGTCTCTTCTGCAGGAACTTCAGATCACCCATCAGACTCCCAAGATACTATGTGACAATCTCAGTGCTGTATCTCTAGCTCACAACCCTGTTTTGCACTCAAGAACCAAGCATATGGAACTTGACATTTTCTTTGTTCGGGAGAAAGTGATTGGCAAGAACCTCATTGTTTCCCACATTCCTGCAGTAGATCAGTGGGCTGATGTGCTAACCAAGCCTCTCTCCACCAACAGATTCTTATTTCTTAAATCCAAACTTAGAGTTGTTGACAAGCTCAAACTTGATCAACCACCCTAAGTTTGAGAGGGGAGTATTAGAGTAATAAGGGTAGTTCTGTAATATCCTGTAATAAGGGAATTAGACACTAGTCTAATTCCATCCCTATCCCCTTATTCCTACTATATAAAGGAAGATGATGTAACATAATAAAGATTGAAGAATAACAGCTTTCTGTTTTCCCTCTCTTCTACTGTCTCCTTTCTCTTCTCTTCACTCTTGCTTCTCTGTTTCTAACAGGGAGGAGAGAAATTTTTATCAAGGGGATGGGAGGTGAGGGGAAGAGAGGGGAGGAATTTAAATTACATATATATTTGATTCAACATAAGAAAGGGGAAGGAAAAAATGTATTTTATTTACAAATATGTTTGGTTCATAAGGAGAGAGAAAATATTTTAAAACTAATTTACTTTTATATCTTTGTAATTTTATGATAGGACTCATGATATTTACCGTTTATAATTCAAAAATACAAAATCAATGACGAAATATAAGTATTCAATCAGAGAATGTTATAAAAAAATTTATAATAACATAACGATTATGATATATAATTTTAAAAATATTATCGAATATAATAAAAAATAACAAAAATTATTATAAACAAAAACGTTATGATAATTAAAAAATAATATTAAAATATATTAAATAAAGTAAAAAAAAT